AAGTACGACACATGCGACACCTTTTATTTTAGTGTATAGCAATAGTAAACTATGGGTCGAGTTTTTATGATTTATTTCACACTTTTTTCGAAACTTGCGTATAGATCACGTTCATTTTCAACAAGTAATATATGACTAATAAAAAAAATTATCCTTTAATGACCTCTTCGAAGTTATTCGGTTGACGTTAGTTACTATGAATCATTCAAGAAATAAAATAGATTCTATGACTGCGTGTAAAAAATACACAATGAAAATACAAAGTATTATTTATTCAATGATTTAGTGTCACCAAATTATTTTACAACAACATGATTCATCTATTGTTAGTAATACAACATTTCAGAATCATGTTCTAATCTTAACTAAATTAAATATTTAACTGCAACATATGTATATATATATATGCAAGTCTGCTTTCATTAGTTGACAAAATATTTTCATTTGCGGAACAAGCTTAAGTTAAATCGTGATAACAATGACAAGTCAGAGTAAGTTGATACACATTTTTTCTATTAGATGAGAAAGAACTGAATTGAGTTGCCAACAACATCTCTGCCGACTTGATTAACTACGTAGGGAATGAGATTAATGTGTATTACCTTTCTGAATGTATTCTCTAGTGATCGATGCTCACAATCAAATTCGCCACTCATCCCACCTTCCACGTTTATATTTTAACCGAAGATTGCAACACGCTGCCCAAACGCATTGCAATCGAATGGCCATGCTTAATAAACTATCGCATGAGGAAAATCTTCCGGGTCGAACTACCGTAGGTAATCGTGCTCATCAAGCGGGCTACCGTTATTCAGCTGTTGGTGAAAACATTGCGGCTGGACAAACGTCAGTCGGACAAGTTATGCAAAGCTGGATGCATAGCACAGGACATCGAAGTAATATTCTTAACGGAACGTATCAACATATTGGGGCGGCTGTTGCGCAGTCGGCAAATGGCACGCGCTATTGGTGTGTAGTGCTAGGTCGACGGATGGGCTGTTGAAGATAAAACATCATTAATTTAATCACGAGCTCATCATCGTTTATATCGCTGTTTAGAGAACTTAGTAGAAATTGTAAATTCTTTAAAACGAATAGTGTCATAATTGAGAAGAGGTGAAGGGCACGTTTGTTTCATTTGAGATGTGTCCCAGTTCGTTGAATTCTAAATTCAAGGGTGATGGTGTGGATGGGTGTGGTGTTGGTGTGGGTATGTGAATGTGGATGTAGGTGTGACTGTGCGCGTGAGTGTGAGTATGGAGGTGTGGGTCGGCTGTAAATATGGTTGTGGGTGTAGTTGGGGTGTGCAGAGAGAGTGTGGCTGTAGACTTCAACCCAAGTGCGAGATTATCTCGTAGATCTGCATGGATGGGGTGTTGGGTGTGACATGTCTATCGACATCCACCCCTAGATCCACTTACACCCACACCCGCATGCAAACCCTTCTCAACTCTAGATGATCTACAAATATTGGTTTCGCAAATTGTGCATGACGGATAACGATAGTTGATTATTTTCCATGACGCTTATAAATTGCCCACGCAATTTCTTCTTTATGCACGAATCTATATATATCATGTTCAGTGTCGGTCGGCCTGTTTCTCTGTGTCGGGTCAAAGGTCAAAGGTTAAAGGTCACATAACGTTATAAGGGGAGATCTCCAGGGACTATTAAATGGGTACTTATAGGTCCCCAAGGGCTATCCAATGGGGGTACCCATAGGTCCTCAAGGCCCATCCTCTGGGGGTACCCATAGGTCCTCAAGGGCTATTCTATGAGGGTACCTACAGGTCCTCAAAGGCTATCCTATGGGGGTATGCATTGGTCCTCAAGGGCTATCCTATGGGGGTATGCATTGGTCCTCAAGGGCTATCCTATGGGGGTACCCATAGGTCTCCAAGGGCTATCCTATGGCGGTACCCATAGGTCCTCAAGGGCCATCCTATGGGCGTACTCATAGGTCCTCAAGGGCTATCCTATGGGGGTAGCCATAGGTTCTCAAGGGCTATTCTATGG